AAAGTTGATACAGGATTTTTAAATGTAATTTAGCAATATAGGCACATGCTTCCTCAGTCTGTATAAAATGTATTTCTAAACCTATTAACTTAGTGCTATACATTTCCTCCCTACCTGTGAGGGCTGTAATCTTTACAAGTTTTTCAATTAAATTGTTTTAGATTTTTATCCATTTTTACACATCAACATCCAAATAGACACACAGCAAGAGATTGAATCTTTATTATCATTTTTATGCTGCAGCATCCCTAAAAGCATTATATTGTCTTCCAGTTTCATCTCTCATCATATTTCTCTTTCAGTGTTCAGCTTTTATCATAATAATTAATAACTGTGATTTATTCACTGCTGCAACTTCCAGGTGCATTTCTCATAACCTTACTTGCTCTGAGTGTGTGCACCCATTTTTATGTCCTCTGTGGGGCAAGGATATGATCGATACAGGGCGGCTGTTTCCACAGATCATGCCTGTGACACACAGTTTGGTCCTGGATGCATCCCCGGGCCTTATTTTTCCTGATCCAAGGTTCTATGTCACCTTCAGGATGATCTATAATATTGCTGTAAGAGAAAATAGGAGGGCTCGCTCTGTGCAGAATGTCTCTTTGAGAGGACCACCTCCACTCCTTCACTCGTATTCTGCCTCGAAGCTCTAGAAGGGTAAACTGCAAGGACGGTATGAAGCACATCTCATCAAATGTGATGACCTTTGAGACCCATGTGTCTCGAGCTTGAGGTGTCTAAGAATGAATTGGGACAAGCAACAGAAGCAGAGGGATAAAACCTGGACCTGTGCCATCATCCCGAGTTTGAATAGTCAGCATGAGAGTATAGAAGGGTGACACTCCTGATTCAGGTCATACGCAAATACCAAAATACGAGTCTTTATCATATATATATAGATATATATCTATATATATATATCTATATATATATAGATATATATATGTAGCATTTGTTTCTGTGTTGGAGGCAGCTATGAGGGGGAAAAAATGCAGAAGCTTTGTGAACAGGCCCTGCATTCAGCTGTTTCATTTAGAATGAGCTGCTGAATTCATAAAAAGCAGATCTGCACATTCTGTTTCATTTCAAAGCAGAAGCCAGCCTGATTGTTATTTTGAGTCCACATGTCTCAGAACCCATAAATCCCAGCCTGGGGGTCACTTGTTTAATAATTCATTTGAGAAGTTTCAAATGATGGCCTCTTTTTGTGCACTATATCCTGCCTGTCTAAATGCTTTACACCTTGAATTAAACATATAAGCTAAGCCTATATTTTTCTTTAACGGTATGTAAAATTCTGTGATATAAAATAAATGCTTCTTTAAGATTTGTTTGCTTTTGCTTTAAACTTAAATGTTTCAGATCATTAATTTATTGTGATATCAAAGGTAACACAAGCAAACACAACATATAGTATTCAAATATGATTTTATTTATTTATGGATTCACTAACTAATGTGCTCCCAGGTGTTAAAATGTGGTTATCCCCTTAGCATATACCAATTCATTTTGTATTTGAATTTATGGCTTTATCAACCCTTATTGAGCCTCTGGTAGTCTAATTGAGTAATTAAAAGCATAAATTAAGATCTTTAAAGGATGCAGTGAAAGAAATGGTTTTTGTCTGTTTAATTGTATCAGAAATTAACAGCAGATTTTGATTCAACTTTATCTGTATATAAAAAGTGACTGTCCAGGGTTTTATTTAATTATCATAAGACACATAATGTGTCTAAGGACAGATATGCATGGTTGCTGAACATCACTGGATTTAAACAATGATACATCACTCCTTTATTCATTAAAAAGCAAAAAAACTCAACAACATCCTTAACATAGTAAATTGAGTTAAGGTCCATTGTGTTAAAGACCGTTTTTAGCTTAAACAGCTTTATAATAACACAGTGAGAAATAATCTTTGTGTCACAGTTCTGGTTGTGTTATGTTTTATTTTGAGTTTACAGTTTTACTTTGCTCCATGTTTTCTAGCTTTAGTGGTTTAAATCTTATTTTGCTCTTTTCTTTAGTTATTTAGTTTAGTTTTGTTGCCCTCTGCTGCCCTCTTGTGTTCTCTTTTTTCCCTAGCTCCTTTCCTGTTCTGATCTGCTCACACCTGCTCCCAATCTGCTCATTAGTCCTCTATTTGTTTCAGTCTCCCATAAATACACTCTCTGTTCAGTTCCTCACCCTCAGTTTCGTCATACTCCGTCAGCGCTCCGCTCCGGCCCGCTGACGTATGGCGTGCGGAGAACTTGTCTTTCATGTAAATCAATGAGAGCTGTTCCACATCCACCTCTACTCCTCCACACGTCTCCGTCCATGTATGTCTTCT